GATGAGGCTGATCAGCACTTGGCAGCCTCGGACAGTCATCAGAACCACAGCTATTGTTCCGCATCATCAGGAGAAGAGGGTTACTGGCAGCGAGCAAAACAATCGGTGTTACTCCAGGGCCACAGAATTGTTTACCATGTGCCACTTTTCAGGAACACACTGCTGGGGTTCCACAGTCATAGGGTTGCTAGAGGCCCAGAATTGTTTACTTAGGGCCTCCCATAGCTTACCAGGCCCAGAATCTGAATCATAGGGGACCTGTAGGGCCAGGGACCCAGAATTGCCTTACTGCAGGGGACACAGAATTGTCTCATGATGTGCCACTTTCAGGTCTACACACTGGGTGTGTTCAGAATTTTTTGTCATAGGGTGCTGGCAGAATTGTTACGGGCCTCCCATTGCTGCTGCCAGCCAGGACATCCCATGGTTACCAGAGGGGTCCACAGTATCATGCTGCTGCCAGGGACACAGAATTGTCTCTGCCCAGGCCACAATTGTTACTCTCAGGTCTCCTCACACTGCTGTGTGTTCAATTTTTTTACTAGGGTGCTGGCAGAATTGGGCCTCCATAGCTGCTGCCAGGCCACAGAATTGTTAACTCTTCAGGGCCGTCCACAGAATCTGCCACTTGCTCCAAAATTGTTACTCCAGTCTCAGAATTGTTACTGGGGACACACAGGCCTCCTCATTGTTACTCAGGGCCTCCCAGAATGCTGTCTCCACAGCCACACTCTGCCATGAGGGTGCCACTTTCAGGTCTCCTCACACACTGCTGGTGTGTTCCACACTGCTGGTGTGTTCCATTTTTGTCATAGGGTGCTGGCAGATTACGGGCCTCCCATAGCTGCTGCCAGCCCCTAATCTGCCATGGGCCCCAGATATGCTGCACCGCCTCCTCTCTCAGCCAGGTCCCACAGCCATGTGCCACTTTCAGGTCTCCTCACAATGCTGCTGGTGGTGCTTCAATTTTTTGACATCCAGGGTGACACTGGCAGTTACGGGCCCACCCATAGCTGCTGCCAGGCCCCTAATCTTTACAGCCTCCTCATGCCCAGAGGGTCCCCTATTTAACCGCCTCCTCATGCTGCTGCCAGGTCAGAGTCTCTCATGGGTCCCTGTAACGGCCTCCCATTGCTGCTGTCTCCATCGCCACACTCTGCCATGTGCCACTTTCAGGTCTCCTCACTCACACACTGCTGGTTGTGTTCCATTTTTTGTCATAGGGTGCTGGCAGATTACGGGCCTCCCATAGCTGCTGCCAGGCCCCTAATCTGCCATGGGCCCCTATACCGCCTCCTCATGCTGCTGCCAGGTCCTCCTCATCCCTGCGGCTCCCATTGCTGCTGGTCACAGCCACACTGCTGGTGGTCTCATGCCATGTGCCACTTTCAGGTCTCCTCACACTGCTGGTGTGTTCATTTTTTGACATAGGGTGCTGGCAGATTACGGGCCTCCCATAGCTGCTGCCAGGCCCCTAATCTGCCATGCTGGGGCCCCCTACTACCGCCTCCTCATGCTGGCAGATTGCCATAGTCAGAGTCTGTCCATGGGCTGTGGGTACGGCCTCCCATTGCTGCTGTCTCCATCGCCCACATGCTGCTGAAGTCTGCCATGTGCCACTTTCCATGTGCCACTTTGTTCCCCTCACACTGCTGGTGTGTTCCATTTTTTGTCATAGGGTGCTGGCAGATTACGGGCCTCCCCACAGCTGCTGCCAGGCCCCTAATCTGCCATGGGCCCCTATACCGCCTCCTCATGCTGCTGCCAGGTCCAGAGTCCTCATGGGTCCCTGTACGGCCTCCCATTGCTGCTGTCTCCATCGCCACACTCTGCCATGTGCCACTTTCAGGTCTCCTCACACACTGCTGGTGTGTTCCATTTTTTGTCATAGGGTGCTGGCAGATTACGGGCCTCCCATAGCTGCTGCCAGGCCCCTAATCTGCCATGGGCCCCTGTAGCCTACCGCCTCCTCATGCTGCATGCCAGGTCCACATGTCTCACTCTGCCATGTGCCACTTTCAGGTCTCCTCACACTGCTGGTGTGTTCAATTTTTTGTCATAGGGTGCTGGCAGATTACGGGCCTCCCATAGCTGCTGCCAGGCCCCCTAATCTGCCATGGGCCCCTGTACCACCCGCCTCCTCATGCTGCTGCCAGGTCCAGAGTCTCTCATGGGTCCCCTGTACGGCCTCCCATTGCTGCTGTCTCCATCGCCACACTAACTCTGCCATGTGCCACTTTCAGGTCTCCTCACACTGCTGGTGTGTTCCCATTTTTTGTCATAGGGTGCTGGCAGATTACGGGCCTCCCATGCTGCTGCTGCCAGTAAGGCCCATGGGCCCCTGTACCGCCTCCTCATGCTGGCCCCCTGTACGCTCATGGGTCCCCCATTGCTCATGCTGCTGCTGTCAGGTCCACACTCTGCCATGTGCCACTTTCAGGTCTCCTCACACTGCTGGTGTGTTTCCATTTTTTTCATAGGGTGCTGGCAGATTACGGGCCTCCCATGCCAGCTGCTGCCAGGGCCCCTAATCTGCCATGGGCCCCTATACCGCCTCCTCATGCTGCTGCCAGGTCCAGAGTCTCTCATGGGTCCCTGTACGGCCTCCCATTGCTGCTGTCTCCATCGCCACACTCTGCCATGTGCCACTTTCAGGTCTCCTCACACACTGCTGGTGTGTTCCATTTTTTTGTCATAGGGTGCTGGCAGATTACGGGCCTCCCATAGCTGCTGCCAGGCCCCTAATCTGCCATGGGCCCCCTATACCGCCTCCTCATGCTGCTGCCAGGTCCAGAGTCTCTCATGGGTCCCTGTACGGCCTCCCATTGCTGCTGTCTCCATCGCCACACTCTGCCATGTGCCACTTTCAGGTCTCCTCACACACTGCTGGTGTGTTCCATTTTTTGTCATAGGGTGCTGGCAGATTACGGGCCTCCCATAGCTGCTGCCAGGCCCGTAATCTGGCCCATGGGCCCCTGCTACCGCCTCCTCATGCTGCTGCCAGGTCCAGGCGAACGTAGTCACACAGGGGAGGAACTTCTCAGTGTAATGAACAGAGAAATCGACAGATGCTGCTGTCTCCGCGCAAACTGAAAATCGGAACCATGTTGACCGACAACGGAAAGAACATGGTGTCTGCTCTGCGTCAAAAGGTTGTGCCATGCGCCATGCGTCATGGCTCACGTGTTCAATCTGGTTGTCAAGCGGTTCCTAAAATCCACCATCCCACTGCAAGACATCCTTAAAATGTCACGTAAACTTTGCATGCATTTCAGCCATTCCTACACCGCAAAGCACACCCTCCTTGAGCTGCAGCGGCAGAACGGAATTCCACAGCATCGCCTGATCTGCGACGTTGCAACAAGGTGGAATTCAACCCTACACATGTTAGACCGCCTTTACGAACAGCGAAAGGCCATCACCGATTTCCTGATGTTACAAGCGGATAAAGGTACTCCCCTGTGTAACTTCGATGTCAGCCATTGGCAGCTCATGCGTGACACCTGCCGCTTGCTCAGGCCCTTTGAGGAGGCCACGCTATTCGTGAGTCGGCAGGACTATGGGATGAACGACGTCATTCCTCTGTTGCACGTCCTGGAACAAATGCTGTTAACAATGGCTGGTCAGGGTGCGGTAGACGTGGCGCACAGATCTCAACGCCACATGACCCCTGTGGGGGCAGGACAGGAAGAAGAGGAGGAGGTAGAGGAGGACATTTGTGCTCAGGAATTATTGAGTGAAATGGGTGGTTTTTCCACTCAGCGGACAGGAGTGGAGGAGCAGGAGCATCTGGTAGAGGAGGAGGAGGAGGAGGAGACAGAGGACCCAGACGCACCGTGGCAGTATGCTGTGGAGATGGAGGCAGGGAGTCCCTCGCATTCCTTGGCACAAATGGCCCATAGCATGCTCGCTTGCTTGCGTAGCGACAGCCGAATAATAACCATCAGACAGAGGGATGACTTTTGGCTGTCCACCTTGTTGGACCCTCGCTACCGTTTCAAAAAATGGTGGCCTTTTTCACACCTGCTGAGAGGGAGGCCAAAATAACGTACTATAAAAACCACCTATGTAGTCAGTTGGTCTCTGCCTTTGTGCGCCAACGTCCATCCTCAGACACTGTGGGCCCTGTGCGCTCCGTAGATTCAGCGTTCCGCTGCCATGCAGCTGGGGGGGGGAGGGGTGGGGTGGTAGGAGCAAATGGGTGGCAGCTCCACCAGCAGCCTGCCTCAGTCAGGTCTGCAGTCGATGGGTGAGTAGCTTTCTTCACCAGCGCAGTGAGGAAACTACTAACCATCGCCGCAGCAGCAGCATCCAGCAGGCAGCAGCATCCTGGGCTCCCTCTCCTCACATGGCTCAACAGGCTTGGGCCTACTTGGACCTGGCACCTCACCCTTGCTGCCAACCGAGGTAGACCCCCCCTATGACTACTGGGCAACGAAACTTGACCTTTGGCCCCAACTAGCTGATCCTCATTTGCCCTTTGAAAAGGCTGTCATGCCCGGCCAGTAGCGTGGCATCAGCAGTGGGAGGGGGTATTGGTCCGCGGAGGACACAGCTCCACCAGCAGCGGCTGCCTTGTGTGCAGTCGATGATGAAGGATTTCTTCACCAGCGCAGTGAGGAAACTACTAACCAGCCGCTGTAGCAGCAGCAGCATCAGGTGGACCTGGAGCAGGACCTGGAACACTCTTGGGCCTACTTCCAGCACCCTGCCAACCGAGGTAGACAATCCCCTTGACTACTGGGCAACGAAACTTGACCTTTGCCCCAACTAGCTGAATTTGCCCTTGAAAGGCTGTCACACTGCTGGTGTGTTCCGTGGCATTGTCATAGGGTGCGGCAGAGGTATTGGGCCTCCCATAGACACGACTGTGCCACCCAAAGTGTGGAGAGATCTGCCGTTTGTGGGCCCCTGTGGATTAGTCTGGATTTCAAACCACCAGTCTCCTGACACAACTACGGCCTAATTGCCGCCATGTCTCATGCCCCAAACACTGTGCCATGTGCCACTTTCAGGTCTCCTCACACTGCTGGTGTGTTCCATTTTTTTGTCATAGGGTGCTGGCAGATTACGGGCCTCCCATAGCTGCTGCCAGGCCCCTAATCTGCCATGGGCCCCTGTACCGCCTCCTCATGCTGCTGCCAGGTCCAGAGTCTCTCATGGGTCCCTGTACGGCCTCCCATTGCTGCTGTCTCCATCGCCACACTCTGCCATGTGCCACTTTCAGGTCTCCTCACACACTGCTGGTGTGTTCCATTTTTTGTCATAGGTGTGCTGGCAGATTACGGGCCTCCCATAGCTGCTGCCAGGCCCCTAATCTGCCATGGGCCCCTGTACCGCCTCCTCATTGCTGCTGCTGCCAGGTCCACAGTGTCTCATGCCATGTGCCACTTTCAGGTCTCCTCACACTGCTGGTGTGTTCCATTTTTTGTCATAGGGTGCTGGCAGATTACGGGCCTCCCATTGCTGCTGCTGCCAGGCCCCTAATCTGCCATGGGCCCCTGTACCGCCTCCTCATGCTGCTGCCAGGTCCACAGTGTCTCATGCCTCCCATGTGCCACTTTGCCATGTGGTCTCCTCCTCACACTGCTGGTGTGTTCCATTTTTTGTCATAGGGTGCTGGCAGATTACGGGCCTCCCATTGCTGCTGCCAGGCCCCTAATCTGCCATGGGCCCCTGTACCGCCTCCTCATGCTGCTGCCAGGTCCAGAGTCTCTCATGGGTCCCTGTACGGCCTCCCATTGCTGCTGTCTCCATCGCCACACTCTGCCATGTGCCCACTTTCAGGTCTCCTCACACACTGCTGGTGTGTTCCATTTTTTGTCATAGGGTGCTGGCAGATTACGGGCCTCCCATTGCTGCTGCCAGGCCCGTAATCTGCCATGGGCCCCTGTACCGCCTCCTCATGCTGCTGCCAGGTCCAGAGTCTCTCATGGGTCCCTGTACGGCCTCCCATTGCTGCTGTCTCCATCGCCACACTCTGCCATGTGCCACTTTCAGGTCTCCTCACACACTGCTGGTGTGTTCCATTTTTTGTCATAGGGTGCTGGCAGATTACGGGCCTCCCATAGCTGCTGCTGCTGCCAGGCCCCTAATCTGCCATGGGCCCCTGTACCGCCTCCTCATGCTGCTGCCAGGGTCCAGAGTCTCTCATGGGTCCCTGTACGGCCTCCCATTGCTGCTGTCTCCATCGCCACACTCTGCCATGTGCCACTTTCAGGTCTCCTCACACACTGCTGGTGTGTTCCATTTTTTGTCATAGGGTGCTGGCAGATTACGGGCCTCCCATTGCTGCTGCCAGGCCCGTAATCTGCCATGGGCCCCCGTACCGACTCCTCATGCTGCTGCCAGGCCCGTAATCTGTCATGGGCCCCTGTTGTCACTTGTTGGCATATTCCGCTCGTTCAGATGCTCCTTCTCCTGCTACTCCTCTTCACGGATTCCGTCAGCAGTCTTTCTTGGAATCCGTTTCCAAGAGACAACAGTTTGCGAGCACGCACCCGACGGTGCAGAAGCTGAACGTCCTCCTGTCCAAGTTGCTGCTGCCAGGCTCGTAATCTGTCATGCGCCCCTGTACCGCCTCCTCATGCTGCTGCCAGGTCCAGAGTGTGTCATGGGCCCCCGTTCTGACTCCTCATGCCGCTGCCAGCCCGTAATCTGTCATGGGCCCCTGTACCGCCTCCTCATGCTGCTGCCAGGTCCAGAGTGTGTCATGGGTCCCTGTACGGCCTCCCATTGCTGCTGTCTCCATCGCCACACTCTGCCATGTGCCACTTTCAGGTCTCCTCACACTGCTGGTGGTTTCCATTTTTGTCATAGGGTGCTGTATGGCCTCCCATTGCTGCTGCCTCCACCGCCACACTGTGGCTCCACACTCTGGTTTTGGCCCCGTGACTGCCCAAATGAGTGAAGTGTGCGGTGATTCTAAGATCGACGGCACTCATCTGCATGTCATACTGACTGTCAGTATTATTTCTCTTCCCCAGCAGACTCCAAGGGCATTTAAATTAAAGGTACAGTGTTCTGCACTAATATAAAGGCTCTCTGAAGCCTAGAAACACCCTTTTATAAGTTAAATTCGCAGCGAATATATTCGACTCGAATCAAAATTTTTCCACGAATTCGCCGAATCAGTCGAATCGAATTTTTGAATACTTCGCTCATCTCTAGTTGTTACCTTTTATGCTTTCTAATGATCTATATGATGCATGGCGTTGTGTAAATGCGAATGAAAGAGATCATACCTTTCTGTCTAATAGACACTGCACATACTCTAGAATTTATTTGTTTTTGACAGGTGGCTCCTACAAAAAATCACCCAAGCTAAAATTAACGATTTCACATGGTCGGACCATGCATCAATAGTTCTCACTGTGGCTGATTCATTTCCAAGGTCATTGGCGTGCTAACTCATATCTTATATGCAATCCTACCACTCAAAAAATTCTTGAGAGCCACATGACTGACTTTTGAAATTAATTTGCCTTTCACAGATCACCCGTTTACGCTGTGGAATGCTCACAAAGCGTACATCCGAGGCATTTTTATCAAACTGGGTGTGACCTGAAAAAAACAAAGGCAACGTAGGTTGGATAATGTTATCTAGGATATACGCTCCATTGAGGATCAAATAAAGTATCACTTTCTCAACAATACTGCTAAACTATCTCAGTTAAGGCACGATCTGCGACAGGCACTTCTGTACACCTATGAAAAAATAGACTAAAAGAGTTAAAATGCAATTTTATTCCTGCAGCAATAAAGCGGGAGGGCATTAGCTCGTATGATACAGCGTCAGTGTTTCAAAATGAGAATACCATTTCTAATTAATCCTAAATCCCATAACAAGGTCTATGAACCACAACATATTGCAGACCTATTTAGTGAGTATTACGGTTCTCTATATAATTTGGGTCAAGACACTCAAACTTATCAGCCCTCCCCTACTCGATATAGATAATTTCTTGACCAACCTACAGATGCTGAAACATTCTAGCTCACAACTTCAAAACTTGAACACTACCCAACAATTAATCTCCCGGTCCAGATGGACTAATTGGGGAATATTACAAAACTTTTTAAATATTTTATCTCCATATCTTATAAAGGTCTATGACGAAGCAGCATTGACAACATACTTCCCGCCAGAGATGTTGGAGGCTATGATAGTGACGTTACCTAAACCAGGAAAACCACCTGAAACTCCCCTTAATTTTAGACCAATATCTCTTCTAAACAACGATATAAAATTCACGGAAAAATGTTGGCATTACGACTGGTGGATATTTTGCCCACCTTGATTCATCAAGATCAATCAGGTTTCACTAAGGGGAAGCAAACGCCTGATGCTACTAGGAGAGTGATCAATATCATTCATTTGGCCCTGAAACATCGGACACCTGCTCTGCTGCTGGCGTTAGATGCAGAGAAGGCATTTGACAGGGTGAACTGGTTATTTTTGCAAAGAGTGCTCTGTAAATTTGGATTTCGGAGACACATATTTTCGGCAATGTTGGCCTTGTGCACCCTCCCTTCAGCGAGGGTGTTCACATCCGGTATGTTGTCTAAACCCTTCCAGATAACAAATGGCACTCACCAAGGATGCCCCCTATCTCCTCTAATCTTTAACCCTATGATGGAGCCATTGGCCTCTAGTATTAGACAACACCCCGATATAACAGGCTTTCAATATAAAAGCAGTAAAGATGTAATAAGCTTATTTGTTGGTGACGTTATATTAATGTTGACTAACCCCTTGTCATCCTTGAGTAATGTTGCACAGGTACTCCTTCAATATGAGGAAGTATCATATTATAAAGTTAATGATGCTAAATCTCATATACTTGACCTTGGAGTAACCTCAAAACATAAAGATAAAATACAGTCTAGCTTCCTCTATTTATGGCAGGATTCAGGTATAATATATCTAGGAATTACACTTACCAATCGCCCTGAGCAACTATTTAAAGCTAATCACTTACCCTTGGAAACTAGACTAAAGAAAGGGCTTTTATCTTTAAGCAAGCACACATTATCATGGTCCAAAAGATTAGCGGCGTTTGAAATGCAGATATTACCCCAAATATTGTATGTATTTCATTCTGTACCCATGCCAGCCAATAAAAAATTCTTGCACTCCCTACAATCTATCCTACATAAATTTCTCTGGGAAGGGAAAAAAGCACATTGCGCATTCACCATATTGATTAAAACAAGATCCGTAGGGGGAATTGGACTGCCAATCATCTCTGATTACCACCTAGCAGCAATCTTGGCTCAATTATGGTATTGGTTCGCACACACACACCTACCTCCATTTGGGGGGAACTCGAACAAACACAAATTTCAAGCGGGAACTTATACACGTAATTGTTAGCTTACCCTTCTCTTAAAAAAAAACTATCACCAACAATCCTAGCAACATTGAGAGCTTGGAAAACATTAACCCTCTCTTTTAATAATCCACTAACATTTCTTAGAATACATCTGTTTGTTCCAGTATCTACAGTCGGGTCCATAAATATTGGGACATCGACACAATTCTAACATTTTTGGCTCTATACACCACCACAATGGATTTGAAATGAAACACACAAGATGTGCTTTAACTGCAGACTGACAGCTTTAATTTGAGGGTATTTACATCCAAATCAGGTGAACGGTGTAGGAATTACAACAGTTTGCATATGTACCTCCCACTTGTTAAGGGACCAAAAGTAATGGGACAATTGGCTTCTCAGCTGTTCCATGGCCAGGTGTGTGTTTATTCCCTCATTATCCCAATTACAATGAGCAGATAAAAGGTCCAGAGTTCATTTCAAGTGTGTTATTTGCATTTGGAAACTGTTGATGTCAACTCTCAAGATGAGATCCAAAGAGCTGTCACTATCAGTGAAGCAAGCCATCATTAGGCTGAAAAAACAAAAACAAACCCATCATAGAGATAGCAGAAACATTAGGCGTGGCCAAAACAACTGTTTGGAACATTCTTAAAAAGAACGCACTAGTGAGCTCAGCAACACCAAAAGACCCGGAAGACCACGGAAAACAACTGTGGTGGATGACCGAAGGATTCTTTCCCTGGTGAAGAAAACACCTTTCACAACAGTTGGCCAGATCAAGAACACTCTCCAGGAGGTAGGTGTATGTGTGTCAAAGTCAACAATCAAGAGAAGACTTCACCAGAGTGAATACAGAGGGTTCACCACAAGATGTAAACCATTGGTGAGCCTCAAAAACAGGACAGCCAGATTAAAGTTTGCCAAACGACATCTAAAAAAGCCTTCACATTTCTGGAACAACATTCTATGGACAGATGAGACCAAGATCAACTTGTACCAGAGTGATGGGAAGAGAAGGGTATGGAGAAGGAAAGGAACTGTTCATGATTAGAGATGAGCGAAGTATTCAAAAATTCGATTCGGCTGATTCGGCGAATTCGCGGAATAAATTTGATTCGAGGCGAATATATTCGCTGCGAATTTAACGTATAAAAAGGGTGTTTCTAGGCTTCAGAGAGCCTTTATATTAGTGCAGAACACTGTACCTTTAATTTAAATGCCCTTGGAGTCTGCTGGGGAAGAGAAATAATACTGTCAGTCAGTCAGTATGACATGCAGATGAGTGCCGTCGATCTTAGAATCACCGCACACTTCACTCATTTGGGCAGTCACGGGGCCAAAACCAGAGTGTGGAGCCACAGTGTGGCGGTGGAGGCAGCAGCAATGGGAGGCCATACAGCACCCTATGACAAAATGGAACCCACCAGCAGTGTGAGGAGACCTGAAAGTGGCACATGGCAGAGTGTGGCGATGGAGAGCGCAGCAATGGGAGGCCGTACAGGGACCCATGACACACTCTGGACCTGGCAGCAGCATGAGGAGGCGGTACAGGGGCCCATGACAGATTACGGGCCTGGCAGCAGCATGAGGAGTCGGTACGGGGGCCCATGGCAGATTACGGGCCTGGCAGCAGCAATGGGAGGCCCGTAATCTGCCAGCACCCTATGACAAAATGGAACCCACCAGCAGTGTGAGGAGACCTGAAAGTGGCACATGGCAGAGTGTGGCGATGGAGACAGCAGCAATGGGAGGCCGTACAGAGACCCATGACACACTCTGGACCTGGCAGCAGCATGAGGAGGCGGTACAGGGGCCCATGACAGATTATGGGCCTGGCAGCAGCATGAGGAGTCGGTACGGGGGCCCATGGCAGATTACGGGCCTGGCAGCAGCAATGGGAGGCCCGTAATCTGCCAGCACCCTATGACAAAATGGAACCCACCAGCAGTGTGAGGAGACCTGAAAGTGGCACATGGCAGAGTGTGGCGATGGAGACAGCAGCAATGGGAGGCCGTACAGGTACCCATGACACACTCTGGACCTGGCAGCAGCATGAGGAGGCGGTACAGGGGCCCATGACAGATTACGGGCCTGGCAGCAGCATGAGGAGTCGGTACGGGGGCCCATGGCAGATTACGGGCCTGGCAGCAGCAATGGGAGGCCGTACAGGGACCCATGACACACTCTGGACCTGGCAGCAGCATGAGGAGGCGGTACAGGGGCCCATGACAGATTACGGGCCTGGCAGCAGCATGAGGAGTTGGTACGGGGGCCCATGGCAGATTACGGGCCTGGCAGCAGCAATGGGAGGCCCGTAATCTGCCAGCACCCTATGACAAAATGCAACCCACCAGCAGTGTGAGGAGACCTGAAAGTGGCACATGGCAGAGTGTGGCGATGGAGACAGCAGCAATGGGAGGCCGTACAGGGACCCATGACACACTCTGGACCTGGCAGCAGCATGAGGACGCGGTACAGAGGCCCATGGCAGAGTGGCAAAGCGTAAGCAGCTTAAATTGAAGGCCATACAGAGGCCTATGTTTAAAAATAATAACATGTTTGGGGCATGATTCATGGCGGATTTAGTCAGTTGTGTCAGGAACTGGTGGTTTGAAATC